GATGGTATAAGTTGCTTAAGAATATTCAGGAATCATGGCAAAGTTCACACAGATATTCTTTTGTCCTTTAACAACAATAAGAAATTAAATCGTATTCACAATTTCATACTGAAAACTAATTTTCAATTAGGAAAAAGTGAAGAGTACATACAACAAAATTTTAAACTAGTGAGTCTTGCCTTGATGTATTGCTGGCCTCACAATCCCTTTACTCTGGATGCTTTTTTTAAAAATAAGAATACTTTGTCCAGTGATTATTATCAGTAGAGTAATATGACTCCTTCAGCTAGAAGGAAAAATACCGAGTCTATTATTTTTTTCATATACTCAATTCATGCTTGTCATTAAACATTGATTATTTGACCCCAAGCAGACAGACAGGTGTAGAAATGTGGGAGAAGCCAGGCAGAGGAACACAGACTATCATTGGAGCAGTACACACCATACACTGTGCTGTACAGAGGGAGGGGAGGCTGTGTGTATATGGAGGATGGCAGGAAGGAGTCATGGTAACCGTGACACCTAAATAATCCCTGACTGATTGGCAGAATTTCAGTGACTCTTTCACTTTTCAGCTGGAGGCAGCAGCATGAGGGAGCATTAGACACGCTCTGTTTGTGGTTACAAGTCACCGAATCCGATTGTGGAGAAAATGTACATTAGGAGAGCAGATAAGAGTATATTGGGGTGAAAGAGTTTAGTCCCTTGAATTCCAGGGGAAAAGATTGAAAACAGCAGGAAACAAGAAACCTCATGTTCTCATCACAAGAGAAATGTGCCCTCGTCATCTGTTCATGCCTTTGGCAGGCATTTATTAATGAAATGCTAAGCTAAGAGCTTCACAAATTATGACATGCAATGCCCTTCCCAGACCTATGATCATGCAATCACAAATTATGACATGCAATGCCCTTCCCAGACCTATGATCATGCAATCACTTGGAAGTGTAATTATTTAGAGCAACAACAAAAAAATGGTTGTAGTATCTTATCAACTAAAAATGTAAGATCTTAAGGGTTCACAAGAGATGGTCTTCCCTAGTATGTCTTCATCTCTTACATCTCCTTTGCTTACGACGCTTTGTACGTTCTCTTAATGTCATAATTAAACATGTGAGTTTATGATCTTATCAAATGTCAAACACCAAGAAGTAGGGCTACATTAAACCTACCTCTGAATTTAAAAGCCATTTGAAATATATGTTAAATGATTTGATGGTTTGTTGAATACCTGCTTCCTAGTGAATTCACTAATGCCAGATTAGATGGATTAAGTTACATATTAATTTGTAACTGAAATACTCCTATTTGATTTGTTTTAAGTACTCACAAGGCCAATTTCTTGACTCCCTTATCAACATGCCCAAGACAGAACAACACATGCTCCTGTGTTTATTACATTTTTATTACAGTAGGGTTGCATGTCACTGCAGAAACTTTATATGTTACAGATAAGCAAATGAAAGAAAATCACTATAATCCTAACCCCCAAAATAGCCAGAGTTACTGTTTTATAGGAATTTACAAAGCAATCGACACCCACCCCACCCCACTTTTTTTTCTTTTCATTTTAAATGCGCATAGCTAAGTTGCCCCTTAGTGAGGCTGAACTATTTTATACTTTTAGAGTTGTGGAGAATGCTATTTGCTTCTGCCAACATCACATTCAATCGCCAATATTTAATCCTGGAAAAATAGGCGAAAGAAAGAAATTTTTTAATGAATGTGTATTTCCTCTAATGCTAATTCAGTTAACTATTTCATCATGAGTTTATTGAATATTATATTTCTGGTAATTTGTCTCTCAGTTTTCCCCCGCCCCGGTAGCTACTTTTTTCTTCCGGGCATGTCACTCTGTCTCTCTTAAATTGTTTTCGAGAACTTAATGCATGTTGCTAAACTGTCTCCATGACTAGGCCAGTCACTTGTCTTTTATCATATTTCCTTTCAGTGTCACTGATCCTAGGAAGAGGGACTAAGAAACCAAGAGAAAGGTGCAGCTGTGATCCCCTCATCCAGTCACTTGTAAACTTAGTACAAGTCATGAGCTATAATATCTTCAAGGAGAGGAAGCAAATGGTAAAGCAAACCATGGGATATTAATTTCTGTATGACAAGAATTTTTTTTTGTAGAAACAGTAGCAAACCAGACTTAAAATTAGTAGATTCCTAGCCTGTTTTGGATAATTCGAGAGAATTTAGAACGAACGTGAATAAAAACAACATAGTGTAATACCGGCCAGGAGAAGAGTATAACAGGGCGTGCGTTTGAGCAGCAAGCCAGATTTGGCAATTAGAGCTAACAGTAAGTTTTGTTCATCCATTAGGGATGCATTGAAGTATTTCACGGGACATGAATGAAAGTCATGTATGGCTGTGCCCTGAAAAGTCAATAAAGAATGAGCACTTTTATAGTTTGGCAACTAAGAAATTAGCTGGGGGCAATGCTGGAATTCTTGGGAGAAATGGAATCTAGGAAGGAGAAAAGAAGAAGAAAATAACAGAAGAGAAAAGAAGTAGCATAGCTAGGAATACAGATGCAGAAAATAGAAGAAACAGAAGAGATGAAGAAGGTGGGCTGAAAAGAAACACATTGTATACATTTAATACACACAAATTATCAAGATAGGTTGCAATGTCCCTCTTTAAGTGCTCTGTTTATGTAAACAGAGGATACAAATATGAAGCCTTTAAAAATACTTCAAAAGGAACTTGTCTCTCATGTGTCACAAATAGTTAACTGTATCTTCTATGAGACATGCATGTTGAAAGTCGTTTGTGTGTCTAGGAACAGAGGAAGCACTTGATGACAGTTTTAAGCTTATTTATTCATTTCTGAAGATGTCCAGTTTTTTTGGTTCAATGTTATATGTAACAAGAGAATTGTGGCAGAAACGAAACCTTGTTTAGCTATTTCATAAACACATTAAAGGTTGTGAAATTATTGAAACAATGAACTTCTTGCCATATAACTTAAAAGTTTTCTTTAATAATCTGTAAAGCCTGGGCATAAAAAGAGTACGAATATAAAGTATAACAGACAAATGAGAAAACCAGTGAACTAAGGATACTTGAACAAAGGGAAAGGGTCACCGGAAGTCCAGGAAAGTCTGATAGATCATGTCTTTAAATGGTCACCTGAGTCACTCGACTCTTATTTGGCCTCTTTCCACAGTCAACCAAAAAAATTGGTGACAGAGATCTCATGACGAGGAACAGCATCAGATGGCTTGAAGGCAGAAACGCGGTTCGTGGCACTGTGAGAACTTTCAAACTGCAAGTGTTTTCTTTAGGATGACAGGTGGGTTTAAGGTCCACCAGGACATGCTATAATGGTCGCCCTCAAACGAGGTGAAAATGAGCTCCTGTAAAATTCTTTCTGAGCATTTCTTGTCTTTGCCACTCTGACTTTTATGAATTCCTTGGTTTGTGACCCTCGGTGTGTGAAACTCATGTCTATGGCTCTGATTTCCATCATTATGGATCCATAACAGATCTGTAACTTCAACTGTGGCAACACACGACTTAAAAAAAAAGTCCTGAATATTCTCTATTCATTGACTTAATCTTTCAAATTCTAAAATTTAAAACGTCACACACACCTCATGTACATAAATATTTGTGTCTACTATGAATATAGATCTGAAAATACACATATCTTTACTGTATAGCTGCTGCTATACCCACTCCCTCCACATATTGAAAGAAATCTCAAAGAATTAAAAAACCAGTATTTGTAGCATCACTCCATTGTGAAGGATGATATATTTAACACTCACAACATACATGCTTTTATGCGGACACAAACCTACAGGATGATTAGAACTTAAAGCTGACTCGATTAACTTTAAATAAACTCCAGACATGGAAGTGAAAATAAAATATACATGATACCCTATGTAAAAAGCTCAACTGTTAAAAAGCCAATTATCTACCTGGGAATGTATGCCACACATTATACTTTGAGGACACATAGTCAGAAGGGAGAAACGGTCTGCCTCCAACTGTCGTTGCCTCTATGATACTGCTGTTAAAAGAGAAACCTGGAAGACATAATTCCCGGCTCTGTGTGTTCAAGGAAAATCTGGGCACGAGTTGGCTGAGGACTGTCTTGCGGAGTCCTCCGTGCTCACCGAGTGGGAGGGTCACACTGGAGGGACGAATAAGGGCAGAGATGCGTCCCGCTTCCACTCGCTGGGAGCTGGCGCGGGCCACTCCGCGGCGGTGCGGCAGCCCTGTCCGGACTCCACCGCGTCTCCCAGGGGCTCAGACACCAACCCAAGGTAAGCTGCTGAGCTCTACCACTGGCCGCTTTGCTTGATGTCACCCACACTAGCCCGGTCTCTGTCATCTGCTGTGTTTCTGGTCATTTGCCTGCATCTGCTTTTTAAGAAAATGTCAAAACGGTGCCGCACATGTGCACATATTTCCGAGGTAAATCTGCCCACCTGCGGTTACGCATTCCCACGCTGGCGCCGAGGGGACCGAGTGCATTTAACCAGATCAGGCCACTTTGATATGCTATCTATAATGGGGCTCGTGTTTGTGCGTCCAGGTCACGCGGGCTCGCGCGTTCCACTTTAGTTCTCGGTGGGTTTTGTGGGTGGATTTGGGAAGCAGAAGTGTGAGCGATGCTGATGCGGGTGGAACGGACACTGAGGAAGGTTCCACGGGGGTAAACGCATAGAGCCTGCTACGAATTCTGCGGGGCTGTGGTCTGGGGCTGGGATGCTGTGCCCGGGAGAGGCGAAAGCCAGGACGCGCAAGCTTGGACGTCCGAGTGACCCATGGAGTTACCCACTTCGACCCCTGCAGCGGTCCCTTAACCCGTCTCGGGCTGACAGGGGCCGGGAGGGGGGTGGTGCGAGGATCCGGGACTGGTCCCAGAGTGCCCGGCCCTGTGCCTTCTTGAGTCCGCAGAGTGCGCAGCACGTCCGGCCGAAGCGCAGCCGCCGTCCCCGCCGTCCTCGCTGCCACCGCCGCCGCGGGGACGTCAGGGTCCCGGCGCACGGGGACCGACGCCGCCCCGCCTCCGCCCGCGGCCCTCAGCTCTGCGGGAATCCGGCCGGCGCCGCAGCCACCGCGGCCGGCCGGGAAGAGGGAGGCGGCGCGCACGGTCCGGGAGAAGTTTGTTGGCCTGGAACCAAAGGCGCCACCGCGCAAGTCAGCTCCTTTGAAGCAGGCGGGCGATGAAGCTTAACCTTACCCCAGCTAGGTCTTGGAGGGTTCTGGAGCCAGGCGAGTGGGTGCGCAGGTTACCCCCCATGGACTCCACTGCATGGGAGGCAGAGCGGAACTCATGGTGGGTCTCGGGGGACAGTAGACTCGCTAATAGAAAGAAAGAATCGGACCCAGATGCTGCAAATGTGTACTTTTAATAGAACCATCCAGGAACTGCGACAGTGGGTGGTGTGAGACCTAGCTCGAGGCTGGGAAATGGAAGGGTAACAGAAATAAATTGTGCTGTCTCCTCCCACCCCATCACCAGTTCAGAGACTACTTACTTCCAATCTCTTCTAGGAGAGAAGAAGGTCTGAGGAGCACAAGATGTGAGGGTGGTACAGACGCTTTAGGGGAATTTACATCTGCCCACTCCCCACCCCCAAAAAAGGGAGCTAATGAAAGCAACTCTCCTGCACAAATCAAGGCCTACAGTTGTTCTCTAAGAGAAGCCAAAGAAGCAGGGCTTGATAAGGATGGCCTTAGGCTCTCCCGAATAGGCCAGCAAAGCTGCAGGACCCTTTCTAAGTAGAAGGCTCTTCACCAGGGGCCTGCAAAGCAGGAGGCAAGATGTCTGTGCTTTCAATGGTGAAAACTGTCATTTCCTGGTCCTGCGACACAAGGACAGGATTTTCTGAGAGGGCGATTCTTCATGGCACAATCAAGAGGAGGTAGCCACCAGGGTTAGAAAACTCGTTCCCCCTCCCGGAGAAAATGTTGGAAGTAACTGCCAGGTGCTTTCATGTGGTTTGGACCATAATGATTTCTATGAGTGTTCAGAAACCTAAGCGAGGTGTCCTGAAAAAAAAAAAAGACATGCGTGGCAATAGAGCAAGGAGAGCGGCTCCATATGGACAGGTAAGAGAAATGCCAAATGGGAGGGAAGAAAGCCGCGTGCAATTATGTTTGTATCTGAATCATTGTTATCCTCAAACCCTTTCCAAACAGATGGGAGTCCATGGTATTCTTCAAAAATGGGAAACTTTCCATCTATCTTTTTCTGGTCCTGCAGTTTGATCTCTGTTGCTGAAATCTCAGTTCGTTTTATTTCTGAGGCAGAAGAAATGGACAGTGGCTTCTGAGAGCACGGCTCTAGGGGTGGAAGATATGGACGGGAACCATAGGAATGTGAAGAATAGCATCATAAGTGAAAATTCAAATGAAGAACGAAAAGCAGGCGTAGAACACGAAGAAGTGGGGCTCTCGGTACACTAATATATAGCCGAGACGGAATACTGTGGTGGGAAACGTAATGACTGGGCGGAGTTCAATCAGTCCAGGGAGGCCTCGTTGAGAACTTGTATCTCAAAGAGGCAGAGAATAGACAGGCTTAGCAGAGGAGAGCAGTCAGGGAAGGAAGACAGAAGGAACAGCATGTCTGAAGGCTTAAGGTGTCGAGGGGGAGGAGTCATATGCCTGGTAAGACAGAAAGCACAAGCTGAGGTGAAGTCTAGGATGGGGAGAGCTGCCAAGAAGACTGGAGAGGGGAGACTGAGAAGCAGGGGGCACTGGATACTGTTCTTGTGTAAATAGCAAGACAGCCAGGCCAGGAAGCTACATGCTGAATTTAACAGGAAGATGCTGATAGTAGACCGAAGGGCCTATCTTATGCATCTGTAGATGGTAAATTGGAAATGCCCCTCCCACTTGTTAAGAAATCAAAGGCAATCATGAAGTTTTAAGAATACCCTATCAGAAAGCCAACAGTGATTCAGATAGAAGAGAAACCGGAAAAAGTGGATACACTGGGGGAAATATACAACTCTACGAAGACGAAGTTCTGTCAGAGGCAGGGGTGTGTCTATGAAAAACAGAACCTGAGCTTGTAATCAGAAAACAGTGTAGGTCAGCCACAGTTGTTGAGATTTAGGGTCTCTGAAAAGTTCTTGCAGACAGCTGTCATTGGGAGAGGCATGTCAATGAAGCGGACACATTGTCAAGGAGGGAGAAGATTGCTTAGACACGCTCGAATAGAATCTTTCAAACTGCAAGTTAAAGGTAGAATAAGAGTACCCAGATGGTCGGACGACTGGAAGGACGCTTCCATAGAAAATAAAAGGAAGGAAAGGAGGAAGGGAGGGAGGAAGGAAGGTAGATAGAAAGAAAAAAAGAAAGAAAACTTAGAAAAAGTTCCATCAGGACTGTAGTTGCAATTCAGAGGTAGTGTGCTTGCTATGTATAAAGCCCTTATTTTGATTCCCAGCACACACCCCCAAAATACAGGCAAAAGCATGGTATTTGGGGTGCTGCTTATAGTTTGATGGAGCAGTTTTCAAAGCAGAGACCTGGAGAGATGAGACTGTACCAGAGCTGTGAGTGCCTTGCTGCCAGTCCATAATGAAACCCCATGAAAGACGTAAATGAGAGCCCTGATGTGACTGGAATGGTTTTAGGGATGGGATTCTTAGCCAGGACTTCCCACACTTTGCTGCAATCTGGCACTCCACTGGTGTGGATGATCCCTAGTTTGAAGCTATCCTGGAATACCTAGCAAAGCCTTGTTAGGAGAGAGAGGGAGAAGGGATCAATTTTCAGCAGCTGGGCAATGGAAATGAGGGAAAAAGAGTGGAGGAAAAGAGTCTCCTCGTGGCTGTTGTAACAACTAGAAAAGAGTCCACTGTAACTTCCAGGACTACAAACGGCACCAAAGTGAATGAATGGTTTTTGCAGAGAAGGTGTGCACGGTTTCAAAAGACACCCTTTACAATGGTTTGACAGGCTTCTCTCCAGGTCTGAGGTGCATAGGGAGTGAAGGCGAATTTGAAGATGATTTTGAAACTTAATGTGTTCCTGCTTTGACAGTATTTGTAACTAAAACATAAGGATGAAGACATTACCCTGCAGTTGTTAAGGTAGAAATCCTGCTCACATTGTGGGAGTATTCTGCGGACTCACTTCAATTTCATTAGTAAATAAGTGATGAAATTGTAAAATACACATCTATACCAAAACAGTTGTATTTGATTATTAGCTTAGGATTTTAACTCTGTATGACTCCTTTTCTGCTGGCTTCTTTTTCTCTTTATGAAAGTTGGATTCTCAAGATTGACAAGAGGACAGATGTGGGACACCTGTTGTTTTGCTTATTTACACAATGCCTCGCTTCATAACAGCATAACGAGGCTTTTCTGGTAGAGTTGCGTATGGACATACTGGAGAATAGTCAGGAAAGCTTGATTTAAAAATCAATCATCTACCCGATTGTTTAGCATTCCCTCTGTAAAGAATGCTCTGAAAGTGTGACTTCTTTCAGGCACCTGAGAGGTCTAACATATTCTTTCTCTTTCCAACAACAAATCCTTTAGTGGAACAAATGAAATCTCTAACAAAAAATGATTTTCCCCCCAGGAACAAATTAGATTTGTGTTAAGGATTTTAAGGACTTCAAGGGTTTGGAAATTCATCTAATTAATTTCATAATCTTCCCAACCTACTTGTTTGAAAACTGGGATGTTACTTAATGTAACAACCTACATCAAATGAATCAGTATCCTTCCCCACCATCTCCTTTCTCCTTTTATGTGTGTGCTCTTCATGATTTTTGTTTGTTTTACTTTGTTTTCATTTTAGTGATGTTCTATTGACCCAGCCCTCATGTAATACACAATTTCAAAGATGCACTGTGAATACGTAAAATGTGAAATGTCGTTAACAGTAAAAACATTCATATTTGGCTTGATTGACTCAGGCTTCCAGTGACAGGCTTCTGAACTGTTTCATTTAGAAAAACCACCATCATTCCATCCACTGGTCCATCCACTTATCCACTATTCCATGCACTGGTCCACTGTTCTGTCTTTTCAAATTTCCTGTCCTTTCACTTTTTTTTTTGGTCAAAAACAATGTGTGTTTATTTCACTTTCCTGGACCACAGTAACATCAGACACTTATTTATTGTTATTATGTGTATGCACAGTATGCGAGGTTATGGATATAACATGCAAACAGGTTCCCATAGAAACCAGATGGCATCAGATTCCCTGGAATTGGATTTACAGCCAACAGTGAACTGCCTGATGTGGGTGCTAGGAACCAAACCTGGGTTCTCTCCAAGAGCAGCAAGGCTCTTAACTACTGAGCCATCTCTTAGTCCTGACACCAGGAATTTTTATTTGACTTGCTGCTATATCCCTACCCAATTAGTGGTACACAGTAGAGCTCTCATCCTATCAATGAAATGAAGGAGTAAAGTTTTCATTGATCCTTCCTTTGCTGTTCATCTTTTCTGTGTACCAATATAGACTTCATGTTATAAAACATAGCAAGGACATCTGCAAAACCTGTCTTCCTTAAAATTCCATTAGATTTTATAATAGTTTTAAAGATACTGAGAAGTAGACTAAGAATGTTTAAGAGATAACATCCAAAACTAATCTGGGGAGAGATGGGGGAGAGGATGAGGAGAACAAGTAGTGATTAGGACCAGACATTGAGACATCCACTATGTTGCAGCTGTCACAGCAATGTGAAATAAGTTTCAGGCAGGGGTATCTATCTAAAGGGTTTCAGAGGGCTTGTTTTAGAAGGTCCACTGGTGTCTGTGTGGGCCTGTCAGTGCTAAGCACACACTCACAAGTAAGACTTTACTTTGAGTGGCACTGGATAGGAATTATCAGGGTTATGACTGGGATCTTGACAGGGGATAAATGAATATTCATGAGGAAGTAATGTGAGATATAAGGATCTGAGAGCTGTGCCCTGTACCCTGCCAGTAAACGACACATTGCAATAAAAAAAGCTCTTGAGCAAGCAAATGTGGATTTGAACCCAAAGCTCCTCGATAGACTGTTCCATGCGCATTCATGTCTGTGCAATGGAGACCTGATACATATTTTCATCACAAGACTTAGGGCCTAGGTAAGAGGGTCTAATCTTCCTTCTTCAACCATGTAGGTTCTGAGAGCAACGTCAGTTCCTGAGGCTTGAGAACAAGTGCCCTGACTGACTGAACCATCTTGCCAGCCCAAGATATGTGTGTTTTTAAAATCAATGTTCCTACTCTCTTTAAAATCTTTTAATCAAATATTTAGGTACATGTTACACAGACTTTTTACTCTGTTCCCTGTGAATATTAGAGGCAGGCATAGTTTATTTCTGAGCAACGAATATTAAAATAAAAACTACACACAACTATGTTTTATTTGAGAAAATGAGACCACCCAATATTTTCTATATCTTTATTAAAAATGTGCTGTAGACAGCTTTGTACAGGTTTTCCAGAAAGCAATTCCAGGGATTTAAGAAACATCAGCCTCTGCATACGTTGTCTCATGGCACTGAGCTGGGAAGGCACTGGGCATCTTTCTTAAAGCTTAACTTCAGCCATGAAGAGCAAAGCACTAAGTTGCGATAACATTGGCTTGATTTAATTTATAAAGCTGTCTTGATAATCACAGTACCTAGTCCTGAGGGGACAGATAGAAAACTGCCACATTCTGATAGAGGGGTTGGATAAAGTCAGGAATGAAGAAGTCCAAGGAGAGAAACAGTGGTAAGCTTAGGGCACCAACCAGCAGCTTGAGCTCAGCTTGTGTCTGGAGGCAGTGACAGGGACGAAGGAAAGGACAGACTCAGAAAAATATTGGGAAGTTCTTTCCATGGCAATTTTATTGGGCAAACCCAGAAAATACCCCCAACGGAACTTTTTAAAAAATTTAGAAAATGTTTGCTAGTGAAATAAGGAAGCATAAGATGGAAATGATGTATCCAACTGGATAGGAGATAGGTAGATGGATGAATGGATGGAATATATATATATATACATATATGTATATGAAAGATACATAGGTAGATGATAGGTATGGAGGAAGATAGATAGATAGATAGATAGATAGATAGATAGATAGATAGATAGATTGATAGGTAGATAGGAAAAGTCAAGTAGGAAACAATGGATCTGTAGGGAGATTAGAAGGGATTCAAGGTAATGTGAAGTTAGGGAACCCAATGAGAGTTTACAGGAGGATGAGGGCTTGGCTATTGGAAATTCAGAAGAGACTGAGTTAGGATGGGGAGTGAATGGATTCTTGTATAAATTTCTGCTGATCTCACTGAGGGATAGCGGTAGGAGGTCCAAGTACTAAAACCTTTGATCAACTAATCATACACTCAAAGCACTGTGGGATAGATAAAGTTAATGCTAAGTTCTGTCGCCCTCTGAGTATCTCAAGGAAATTGTTAGGGGATATCAAGACCAACTCTGTATGCTTGTGACTTTATAGTTCTCTAGCTCTTTGTTGCTGTAACAGGAACCAACGTTTTGAGGAAAATGAATTTCTAAAACTATTTAACGCTTATACTTTTCATTATCAAATCAACCTTAGAGGAAGAGATAATTAGACTAATAATTCCTTAGTGGATATAGCAGCAGACAACTTCAGAGACCATAGTTCAATGGCCATGAGCCTAGCTTTCAGGTGAATGAATCCAGACTTAATTTTCCATAACTTATGTACAAGTAGCGGAACTCACACAGGAAGCCAATATTTTAACTATTATATTACAGTGCTAATTGATCAACTGAGAGAAATCACCCCAGTTAAAACACAATCACAGATCTCCCTGACAATTGGATCAAAATTCAAAATTCATTAATTTTAACAGTTACTAACAGACATGAGATAATAACTGTGATCAATTTGCAAGGTTGTGTGAGGATCAGGACTACATCTGTATCTAGAATTCAAAATAATTAAGACATAAAACCAGATGTTTGATGTTTAGAACCACACATTCAGTTTTAACATTGCAATTGCTGACTCTAGCTATTCAACCATAAATATCCAAAATCTTGAATTAATTTTAAAATGCTGAACTGAGCATTTGGCATGTGTTTTGTAGAATATCAAAGATGGTGGGCTTATTGTTTTCTAAACAGAGTCTATTGACAAGAGACAGACATTTGTGTGATGAATTCTTTCATGATTTATTCTTTATTAAATGGTAAATAACGACAAATCATGATTTATGATTCATGAAGAGCTATTTCTAATAAAAGTATAATTGTCAAATAAAATTGAGGGATACAGTATATTTTTCCTTTCAATTTTACCTAATTAACTATAGTAAAGTTTTTGTTATAAGGATCTAAAATATTTTATTTTACTTTGCATTATTTTGTATGTGTATGGATGTTTTGTCTTCACAGCATACATGTGCCTGATGCCCATGGAGGAAAGAATAAGGCATCAGATCACCTGTGATTGGAGTTACAGGTCAATGTGAGCTGCCTTGTGGATGTTGGGAATCTAACTCAAATCCTCTAAAAGAGAAGCTAGAGCTTTTAAGCACTGAGCAAACTCTCCAGGCCCTCTATGGATTTTATCTGATGAATCTTTCATTGTAATACCTGTAGAGGAGGACTATAAATTCTTAAAGACAATGATGATGGTAACATAATATTAAAAATTGTACAATAGGCATTGCATGTATCAATTTCCTTTTAAAGGGAATGAAGGTTGCCTATGTGCAGTAATTTTAGGAGTGGAACTCAGTTCAATAACAAAATAGTTCATGTAAAGTATGATGATGTCAATTAAGTCATAACAGATAAATATAATATTTTCAGACAGAATCATGAATGACAAAATTGTGGTTAAAATTCGGAATCATAGTATTTTATACCAAATATATAGGCAATAAATAAAAAATACAATAAACTATATTTAAAAGTCTGTGCATGAAAGGATAGTCAGTAGACTGAATGGAACCCCATGAGATAAGACACGACATTTATTAATTGGAAGTTGACAAAGGGTCAAAATTCAGAATACATGAAAATATAACAACTTCTATTAAAAACTGAGAAAGTATCTGGGTGCCATTTCTCCACAGAAGACATGTAAATGGCCATAATGCATGTGAAACATGTTTAGTATCACTAATACTCAGGAAAATACAGATCAAAACCACAATGAGCCACCTTCTTATACCCATTAGTGTGGTATCAATCAAAAAGAAAGAAAACAAGTGTAACAGAGGATATGGAAAAATCAGCACACCTTACTAATGGAAATGTGTGAGTTTTATGGAAAATAGCATGGAGGATCCTCAGGAAATTAAAAATGGGAGAACCATATGATTCACATAGCAATTTCTTCTTTGAGTATATGCCCAAGAGAATTGTAAGTAGGGACAAGGATAGATGGCTCTATATCTGTGCTCACAACAAATGTTCACAACAGCCAAGAAATGGGAAGAAATTAATGTCCATGGATGCATGGTGAACAAAATGGACGTTTGAGAACAGTGATGTATCATCTAGCTCCCAAACAAGAAAAAATTCTGACATGTCTCAGTATAACTTTTAGGACTTTGTACTATTGGCTGGGAAAGAGCTTAGTCATGCTTGGTGTACAAACATGAAGACCAGAGACCAATGGCCAGAATTCACATAAAAATACTGGGTGCGATGGTGTGTATATGTAAACCCAGTTCTGGGAAAGAGAGCTTGCTGACATATCAGCCTATTCTAGCCAAAGAAAGTGAGGTGCATGAGGGGCCGTGTCTCAAAAAGCAAGGCGGGTGACCCCTGAGGAGTGCCATTTGGGACTGACCTCTAACTTCTACACTTACACATGTATATGTGTACCCATAAGCACATGACTGTAGGCACACACACACACACACCACCACCACCACCACCACCACCATCACCAAAGATATTATATTAAGTAAAGTCACAAGAAGACAAAAGTGGAATGATTCTGCATATTAAGGTACCTACAATAGTTAAATTTGTATCAGGGGAAGTAGAATGATAATTGGGGATTTGCAGACAACGAGACAGAAAGTTTCGCTTAACGGTCGCATATACCCAGTTCTGTAAACTGAATAGAATTGTTGAGATGGATGAGTGTGGGTGTTGCAAAGCAATGGCAACAAACTTAATTACACTGACAATGCACACCCAGATATGGTCAAAATATGAATCTTATATTACAACATATTTTACCACAATTTTTAAAATAAAAAATCATTTGACTGGTACAGCTTTAAAACCATTGAAAAGGGGGGATTTTAAATGATAAGAATCTGTCATCATGAGTAATTAACTGAATAATTAACTAGGAAGAAATCTAGAAGTATTTCCCAAGCACTCATAAAGATTAACATATGCATTGAAACACCCAGTTGCATGTTAGAGCATCATATAACTTAACATATAATTATATGATATATAGAAATTGATTGCTTTCTCTTTGCTGCTGCTGATTTTGTGACTGTGATGGAAAAGTGTGCAAAATCTCAACTTGGATGCTTCTGCCATTACAGATTTGTGGCCATTTGTTCCCATGATTTCAAGGCACAATGAGGCACCCCGGCTTTTGGAAACTGTGGACTTGCGTGGCAATGTTCTTGCTTCCTGCTTCCATTTGTGTGACGGTCAGGGAAAAGCCAGGTAAGTGGGTCACCTCGATTGATCAATGTTATCTATAGTCCTAAATCCATTTAAAAAAATCCATCAAAGCAAATCTTGTTAACGTTGTAGAGGCTACAGGTTAGATTTACTGATACAGAAAAGAGAAATCATTGTTTTCTAGCACTGACCTTCATACAATACCCATGGTGAATGTCAAAATTTTCACATGCAGGCCATCTAACTTTTTCTGTAATTGGAACTTGTAAATGTGATTATATGCATGCATGTTTCCATGCATATACATGATATTATCTCACAGTTTAGCCTCTAAGAATTATTTGTTCAAATTATTAAGTCTAAAAACTCACCACTAATTAGGATTAACAAGGACATGTCTAATCTTAATTAAGAAAAAGTGAAAAATTGCCTCTGAAATGTAAAAAGAAATAGAGTTTAATTATGTTCAGCTTGTGGTGTCTCAGATAAGAAAAACAAAGGTTGAACACATCTTTACAATATCCAGTAGATAACATTTATTATCAGTTGTTAAATTTATTAATCGTCACTTAAATATTCCCAGAGGTCTTTCCAGCAATTTGAAGCATTCATTTTCATCACCGACTTTTAAAATTAATTGTGCCTGTATAGATTATTAACCTACAAGTACTTCATATTGCAAAGCTGAAGTGAATCTGTAAGGTCATTTGATAAGGAAAGATCCCATGGGATGTATTCTGAGAATAATCACATGTGGTGATGTACCCTGAGATCTGAAGACTGAATCTTTCTGTGTATGTTCTCTTGAATATTTCATAATAGTTTTTATGAGTAGGTACAACTTCCCTCTCACAGAGGTTTTTGAGTTTATATACACACAGAAGAAAAGCAAAGCTTGGTACCTCTTGATTATTTGTCACTACTTTTAGAGGAAGCCCATTTCCTGAAACAGTCCTAATGAAAATGAAAATATTCTATGCGTGTATTCATGATACCCTGTGCTTGTCACATAGTCTTGGGGGAAATCACCTTTTCTGCAGTGAAAATTAAATAAGCAGCAACGCTTAGCAAGTGCACCCATGTTGAAGTAAAAGGTTACCTAGGGAGAGCAACCACATTCTGAAAATCTGCTCTCCCAAATGAATGTTTCTTTAGGAAGAGGACGTGCTGTATTTTGCAATTTCACAAGGGTAGGCGGGCTTCCTTTACCTAGAAGGGATGATAAATCCTTAGCTGAGCAGTGCAAATTTTTTTGGCCACATTAGTATGTAGGAAATGGCTTTGAAAGGAAACATAGTTTAAAGGATCTACATACACAAGTCTGGTTTTAGCAAGGACAAGAATCACAAGAGGTACTGATTCCTGCCTATCTAGCAGAGACTCTGATTTCCTGTTGAAGCCATAGTAAATTCAGTTATTTGAGTCTTTGACAAGTCAACTGGTTGAGTCTAATACAGGATGACTGGGGAATGCTCTTGGGGGGAAATACTCACCTTTGGGATAATTAAATGGCTTTTAATTTTCTTTCTCATCTACTCCTTAGCTGGTTATCTACTGTAATTTTAATTTAATCTCTAGCTGTAATAGCTTATTTATTGCAAGAAGAACACTTATCATGGTCTCCACTTTGTTAAAGAGTATAGTAAAATATGCTTTTCTATACAAGAACAGAAAGTGTTATTAACCATAATAGCACTATCTACTGAATATCCCGAGAACTCACTCATTTTACAATAGCCAAACATCCATATTTTGGAATTCCTCTGAATATTTTACTTTTCTACATTGAGTATCATGGTTCTTTAATCAAGTTGTATTGTGTATATAACTATTCAAAGGTATTCTAGCCCCAAATATCTTACTGAATTGGTTTCTTTGAAAGATTTTCTTTCTAAGAAGCTGAATTGTAATAAGATTCACAAAACATATAGCACTAAGGGGAAGTAATAAGGAAAACACTGAGTTTTCTCGTGCCATTTGGTAGCGGGTGCCTGTAGAGCAATACGTGCATTCGGAACATGCCACGGAAATTGCTTCAGCTCAAATACCATTTACGTTAATTAAAAATGTCAGCACAGTGCCATCACAGGGACAGTTGGAGAATATGACACACTGGGCCTGGCCTGGCAGGAGACTCTCCTTGTGTCTTGTCTTGTGTGTCTGATTCACGGTGCAAGGTTCCCTTTTTAGTTTCCTCATGTGCAGACCTGTGTGTGTGGTCACTAACCATTTACCGGAGGGAAGTGATTACATCTAAAAATAAAATCTAACAAATCTGAGGGGAGGCTAGGGTTTCAGTTCTGGACTTGGTGAGGTTGTCAACAGTTTACAGTTAAAACTAAATGTAATAAAGGATAACTCGGGTCTTCATTGCTGTCCTCCATTCTATGGCACACTGAATGGTGACCTGGAATATCACTGAGAATTCAAGAATAATATGGGAGAGTCAATAATAACATAAATTGAAAAATCTTGAATTCAGGCATTTCCAACTCTGATCAATTTACACTATACTCACATGGGATAAGATATATTTGTGTATTCAGGTGGCCATGATAGCTTCAGCTCAGCTTTCAGGGTAGAGAAGAAAAATATATTAGCATATATACAATGCTTGACAACCTTCAAATTTGCTTTAATCAGCTGCCTAAAACTGGACTAAACTGATAGAAACTTCCACATCAAATGGTTAGTTTATTCTCTTATTGTGGCCTTATAATAAATCTTAAAAATAAAACAGAAAACCAGAGTGAAAAGCATAGGTGAAATAGATGGCAGAAGGCCATCTACGAGAATATTCTTTAAACAACTTTCAAGCTTCATGTAAACCGTCTAGATGGTATTGGGGATTCTCCCAGGCCTAGAGCTAAACACAGAAACCTCATTAAGTCAGTTCTCTACTAAGGAAAAAGTTATTATTCTAAAATATAGCTTATATTTGTTGACAGAAAAATCTACTATTAACCTCACATAAAAATTTGTCTTCTGTATTTTTAATAAGTCTTAGTGCTGAGAATGGTACCACCTAAAAATCTTCACAGTGGTACATGTAGTACTTAAATCCTAAATGTGGAAAGTGGAAGAAAACTTCACAGTGACTGGAGAACATGCCTCTTGGCCAGGTATTTTCTTTGGAGGAAGAGCTTTGAATTAAAGTTAAGTAGTGAAGGTACTTGTGTGACCTCTTGTGCCTTTCCCTAAAATAGCTGTGTCCCATTTTTTTCTCATTTGGCAGCTTTTTTTCCCCATAGTTTGTTGTTGTTGTTGTTGTTGTTGTGGCATAGTCCAGCATGCTTTGTCTACTTTGGTTAGCCATTGATTTACTCTCAACATAGAAGAGTAGTTGTTTGGTTCTCAAATGTTTTGGTGGTGTATAAAGGAAGTACTCAGGTGTCCGAGCCCAGACAGTAAAGATGAGTAAAGAGGCCCTTCGACTCCTATGGCCTCTGCCCAATGAGAGTTTTGTTGTAGCCTTTAAAATGCGGGAGATGGCTCACTCAGTAAAGGGCCTGTCTTTCAAGTTAAATGACCTGAGTTCCATCCCCAGAGATCTCAGCAGTCACTTAAAAAAAAAAAAAACAGGCAACTTGTAATTTCAATTCTGAGGAGGCAGAGACAGTAAGAGTCCTGAGGCTTGAAGGCCTGCCAGCCTAGACTACATAGTGGGTTCCAGGGCAGTGAGAGAAGCTGTCCCCCAAAACAAAGTGAGTGACTCCTGAAAATGACATCCTGATCGTCTCTGGCCTCTATATACATGCGCACACATGAATACATGCATCCACATGCACACGTGCATCTAGACACATTTACATTCAAATGTATACACACAGAGAGGGACACACACATACACAGACAAACACACAGAAACACACATACACAGACACACACAGAGACACATACACACACAGACACATACACACACAGACACACACACAGAGACATACACACATACACACACACACACACACACACCAATAAAAGACAAACTAAGTAGTTCTACATCTGTAGGCAACTGGTGCCTTCATGTTCTCCACTTCTGATCTTGACGGAATGCCCTAACTAGTATCATAGGTAAGGAAAGTCACTTTCCTTAATGGAGATTTGAGACTGATAAAAGAAGTGTCCAATGAACCAAACTTTAAATTATGACTTTATAAGAAAAATTCATTAATACTTTATGTATATTTCTGTAGTATGAAGAAAAAGGAAAATCAAGGCAGAAAATAGATAAGGGAAGTAGTTCCTAAGGTGTTCCCTTACTTGTCTCTGCTTGTCATACTCCCTGTGTGATCATCTGTTTTTATGCTCCAAAAGTGAATCATGTCACTCCCAAGTGACTCCCAAGTGTGCTTTGCAGCCTTGATCTGTTTCAGTTTTGTAGCTAGCTTCCTCCCTCCCTCCCCCGCCCTCCCTCCTTTCCTTCCTTCCTCCCTCCCTCCTTTCCTTCCTTCCTCCCTCCTTTCCTTCTTCCCTCCTTCCTTCCTTTCTTCCTTTCTCTCTCCTTACCTTCCTTCCTCCCTTTTCGCTCTCCCTCTCTTGCTCCCTCCCTCTTCCTCCCTTCCTTCCTCTGTTGACAAAGATTTTAATTGGCATATAATATTTGTACATATTTCTGGGAAGCAGTGTGATAATTCAATATGCATATACATATGATTATTAAATGCAATTAAAAGGATTTATATGCTCTTAAACATCTCTTTGTGTTGGGGAGTCTTGAACTCCTATTTTCTCATTATTTATGCAATCTCCAGTAATTTATTGTTAACTGTAGTTCCTTCTGTAGGTCAGAACATTGAAATCCACCCCTGCCCCCGTTTCCTCCATGCTTCAGCATTGGTTGTTTTTCTAGTCTTTGGAACGAAACACCTGACATAAGCAGCTATGGGTTTATTTTGGCTCATACCCTAAGGGTAGTTTCCAGCATGGAAAGGGAGTCATGGCACAGACTGAGATGACTGGTCACATTGCCACTCAGTCAGGAAGCAGAGAGATGAATGCTGGGCTTGCTTTCTTCTTTTTAATCAGCCCAGGGCCCCAGCCTA